GGGAGAAGGGGCTTAGCGGGGAGAGGGGGGAAGGATGCGGGGGGAGGCACCACCCCCCGAGCACCGCTTGGAGCCGGTGTCCCCGCCGCTTTGCGGGGCCCTCCTCTGCCGCCCCGCACCCCGGGCTGATCCCTCACCCCCCTCTGCCGCTGCTCTCCGAGCTCCCGGCGGCAGCGGTGCCGCACATCGACCTGACCCGCAACCGTGTTTTAAAAATAAAGCAAAACAACCCAACAGCCCGTGCCAGGCGGGACAATGCTTAGCTGCACCGAGGAACTGCTGGCAAAGTTGAGGCCAAGGGAGATTTGGCACTGATTTTTCCACAGGTGCCTAGATCCCATAGGCATCCAGTGGAAACAGGACCCGTAGGTCTCACTTGGAAAAACCTTCACCACTCAAGAACTTTCTGCCTCCCAAAGCAAAGGGACGTTGGCCAGTGTTGTGTCCTAAAGCTGCAAAACTGAGAGAGTCCAGATCTGAACTTCAAGGCATAGTGGGGGCCAAGGGGTGGGGAAGCCCTGCTTGCTCAAGGTTAATAAGAGTTGGATTCGGATCTTCACCTCAAAAGGGCTGAAGATGATGGAGGCAGAGGCTTGATTCAAGCCCATCTTTAGTCACTGCAGAAGCTTTCTTAAAGAAGGAGCCTCTAACTGGTGAAACTTGTAAAGGGATCCATTGAACTGCAAACACCTGGTTGATTTTTATGATAATTTTTTAAAAGAGCTTTGCTTTTTCCTGGCTCATCTGCTGTTGTTTGTAATTGTAGAGCAGATAAAATAAAGCAGGCTTTGATAGTAACATGGATTCACAGAACAAACTGCAACAGGGGAAAAAGCCATCCCATATGCTCCTGGTGAGGCAAATCAGAGACAGGAAAGTAAAAACCCTGGTAGCATGTATCTGTAGTCCCTTAGCTATCAGCAGGGGCTGAAGAAAAGTCCTCTCAGCCCTGAAGGGTGGGCTGAAGATCCTGCCTGTAAGTCTCCAAGGAAGAGGGCTCTATATCTAACACTAAACCTGGATTGTGAGCAACAGTGCAGAGAAGCAAATCTACTCATGAGTGTCTCCATTGAACTAGCTGGGGTTCTTCCACAAAAGCACAGCCATGTCAAAACCACTCACCAAATATGAGGACCTAGCAGTGACCATTGGTCTTCGGCTACTGCTCCAGCACAGACAGAACAGTCCTGGCAGAGACCAGTTTCTGACTGCTAAAAGTACAATTTGTTACTCCTGAAAGTCCAAACCTAGCTGATACTTGGAATCAAACTGTTGTAAGCAAAAGTGGTCTGCTTTCAAAATAGGATTTTTCAAATTAGAATTTAGTCAGCAGTGACCTTCCCTGACTCCCAACAGGGTAGTGAGACATGCAGGTGGAAGGTACCAGAGAAACAAACAGCTAAAACATAAGGACAGAGGCAATTAAGTGAACTGGTTGCAAATGGGAGAGATGTGTTTGATGATTAAGCATGCTGCAAAGGAATCCTCAAGTCTTTGATGTTCTCCCACTTTCCTATGAATAGTTTCCCTTTCCAAGCAGAAGCAAGACAAACTGTCGTGGTGAGATCCACCTGAGCAGCTACATATACTGGGAAGGCAGGAGAAGAAAAACAGTAATCCCTCACTTGAAGCAGCAACCTGAAATCTAGAAAGTTAGTGCTCTGTTGGCACACAAACCTGCACTCAAGTTGTGGAGGAGTCTCCTGTCTTGGCAAGGAGCCCGTTGCAGGAGTAAACCTCATGTCGGGCCTGATCCAGTGCCTGCTAAGGACAGGAGGAACATTTCCACTAGTATCTGGTAAGCCCTGAACAAAGCTCTTCCTTTCCACAAAAGAGATAAATGAGCTCTTTCCTCCAAAATCCACCACTGTCCCTGCTCCAATGGCAGTGGGAGAACAGAGTCAAATGGACACTGTTACTCTCTTCTGTATGATGCATCACCTGGTTCTGCTCAACATGGGATGAGATTGCTGTAAAAGCATCAGGAAATTTCTGAAACTCTCCCCATGACTGCACTTGTACAGCCACACCAATAGGAGCCACAGAAGAAAGATAAGGAGATGGGTTCCCACTGGTCAGACATGAAGGACACAACATTTGATAGCTCCTTACAAAAAGGCATGTCTCCAGAGGAAAAGTAGAAGCCTTAGCTATGAAGTATCAATGTTTGTATGGCTGTAAACCACTAGAAAGGGATCAGAAGCTCCATGTACAATGCCTCTTTATCTTGCTGCAGAAGCCTCCATCATCACCACATCTGAGTTCCTCTCTGTTTTCTCTTGGGTACTTTTTGGCACAAAGTCCTGCCTAGTTTTGAATTTAAACACTGATTCTTTTGCCTTTTATTTTGGGACTCAATTCCACAATTAATCCTGGCCAGCTTTTTCAAACAAAAAGTTCACATGTCAGGAAAATGACATAATTGTTTTTCATTACAGTTTTCTGGACATGCTCATAATTTCAGTAGAAAAGGTTTGTGTTTTTAATTTACCCAAACTGTATTTTTATTAATTACTTATTAAACATTTATAGCCTAAGTAATTATGAGAACCCTCAACAGTATTTTACTTGTTTACTTAGCAGCGTAACCTTAAAAATTTCATCTTATTTTGATGTCAGGGGCAGCCATCTTCCCATGTGCCTGTAAAGCACCAAGGTCAAGTAACTCCAGCAAGTAAAAACTGAAGTTTTGTGCCAGGAAAGCTTTGGGTGTTATTTAGCATTAATTTTAAATTTCAACATCCTGTTCTACTTGTGAGCTTTCTACACTCCAAAACGATCTCTTGCATACACAAACATAATGCAGATAATTATATCAGTAATCTAGGCCATGCTTAGCTGTAGTTTCTTAAAGTTACAATAACCCTTTCTTCTTCAAAAAGAAATAACGATGCGTACTTGGAAAATAATAGACTGTTCAGTAGAGTCTTCTATTGAAATGACCCAAAATAATTATTATGCTATTAATTTTAGAGGGTTCTTCTCAAACAGCTGCAATGTAACTTCTTGAATTTAGTGGATTTACTTTAAGTAAGGTGATACTATTGACGAGTCCATTTTACAGCTTCACTGGGGCCATAAAACCAGTGTCTGTGCCTCCAAGAGTCCTTCAGAAATAGAAGGGAAATGCTTTACTTACTTATTTTGAAGATAAATATATGTTTGTGTTTTAAGAGCTGATGTCAGACAAGAGTCTCTGCCAAAACGCTCATCCCTTTTGTTAAAATGTTCCTAGCTGATGTGCTAGAAAAGTGTCCAGAAATGAAAAATCATTCTCCCAGAATTGCAATTCTCATTAGTATTTGGGTAAAGCAGATTCATATAACAGGAAGCTTAATATTCACATTTTAGAGGACATTTCATGCTTTGCAGAGTGCATTTCAGGGAGTGCTTGCTCACTGTTGAAATATAGTTCTCTCTCTAGTGGATGCCAGAGGACTGGTAGATTACACATTGCAAGTCATTTAGGGAACACATTGCCACAATATACCATGGGTCAAAAATAGATCAGTCTCTGATATGACTAATAAGAACATTCTTAATGTACATTAGGAAAGAAATAAAATGAGTGTTGATTCCCATGCCTCAGCAAATCACTCCAGCATAAATCAGCTAGGTGAGGAAAAAAAAAATCTTCCTCTAATGAACAGAACAGATTTCTTCACTTATACCAGCCCTGGTTAGAAATAAAGCAGCGAGGCAAACAACTGGTCTAAGATAGGTTTTTGGTGAAAAACAGAAAAACAATCTAAAATACTTACAATAAAAGCCAAACTAGACTAGACTCAATGCAGAGAAAAGCTATTATGGTAAACAGGGAAGTGGACACACTACTGTATTACAAGAGAGTAACAAAGCTCAACAAAGCAAAGGTTGAGACACCAAATAATTGCTTTCTATATGGAGTTAGGAAGCAAACACTAGAGAAGAAAATGCTATTTAAACTTAACTTAAAGTTGGCACAGGAACAAATGGGCATAAACTGACTATTAAAACAGTTCAGTCTGGATATCCTAAGAAGGATGCAAGTCATCAGGAGGCTGGTTGTGGAACGGCTTTCCAAAACACATTCCTGGCTCTTGCTCCAGGCTAGTTTTAGTTCAGACTGATGAAAGATTATGTGATGTTGGGCCTATGACAGCAGTGACATTAATTCAGACATTAATTAGCAACAGCAAGAACACTACAGCAGACTCACTAAAGGAGAGCCTTGTACTGTCTAACATTCACAGAGAGACATAAGATGTCTGGTTCTAAAGCTTATTAAATTGCTGCACACTGCATGGATGTCATTGATTTACCTGCTGTGGGTTTGTGTGCTGAGACAGATTGTGGTGCTGGTTGTGCTGATATGGAGGATTCTCAACAGCTTTTCTTTCCTTTGCAGATGTGTGTGAGGCTTTAAATGTGACAGTCTTTCCAGGACCAACAGTGCGGTACTCGGAGGGAGAAAATGCCACCCTTTACTGCCACATTTCCCAAAAGAGAAAGACAGACAATTTGCTGGCTGTGCGGTGGGTCTTTGCTGCATCACCTACCCAGGAGTATCTGATGATCAAAATGACAAAGTTTGGGTCTGTTCAGTATTATGGAAATTATACTCATCATTTCCACAAGCAAAGACTTCATCTTCTTAAAGAGAAACATGGAACTATGTACAAATTTCTTATTCTAAGCCTTCAGTCAACAGATCAAGGACATTATATATGCAAAGTCCAGGAAATTGGCAAACACAGGAATAAGTGGACAGCATGGTCAAATGGCACAGCAGCTACGGAAATAAGAGGTGAGAGACCACCAATTTAAATTCTAATATTTTTTGTGTCCCATGATCCCTTTTTTCTTCTCTTGCCAGTTCATCCATAAGACATTTGAAGTTCAGTTATTTGTGGATATGAAAAGAAGACCTAATACTCAACTTCTTTACTTACACATTGCAACTTAAATATTATTCAGCCCATCGTAAAATGCAAAGTGAGAAGACTGGTAGATTTGTAGAAGATAGTCTATTTCCTTTGCCTTTTACCAGAATAGCAGTAATTAAAATCCTTTACATTCAGCTAAAGGTTTCTCCAACTTTGTTAGTGGGAATAAACAAATCCCATTGTTATATAATACAAAGAGAGAGAAACCGAGATAAATTAACTATTTTCAGAAGAATATGCAGTGGGTTAGCCAGAAATAGAAGCGTTATATTTTAGATCTACTATTTGCCTCTCTCTTGGCATTTTCATTGCTTTTAGATCTAGTTTAGCAGCAGATTGTAAGTATAATTTCTAGTATAACTTTTCTAGTTTTGTTTATACCCCTCGTAGCCAGAAGGAGAGCCAGAAAAGCAGTGACCAGCCTGCTGGTGTTGAACTTCAGATAAAGAAATGACCAGCAATAAGTAAGGGCTTTGAACCAAGTTGGAAACAGGCCTTCTTTTTGGGATGGGTCAGCTCAAATCTAATGCCACCACACTCACAGTTTGAGAGATGGGTGAAATTGTCTTTTAGAGAACAGAGTCCTCTGAAGGATTGGTTGAGCTAAAGGTTGTGCCTTTAGCACTAACTAGCAAACTAGCCCCCTGCTTGTGGTTTTATAAACAGAAAAGTTGACTTCCCATAGGGCCAACTATAAAGATAATGCCAAAAGGACTGTTTGGTCACTGGGTCTGGAAATCCAGGAGTTTCATCCAGCCATCACAGGCAACCTTGTGGGAGAAAACTGTACTTCATGAAGTTTCTGCCATCACTGTTGCTGCTAAATTTATTGTTGTGTTTAGACTGCAAAGGTTTGGGTTTTTTTGTAGCTGGGAAACTCTAATCCCTCTTACCTAACTTATGTTTTGGGGAAAGTAGCCTTAGCTCTCTGAAACCAGTTTTGCTCTGAGGGAACTCTGTTGACTACAGCCCTTCTCAAGGAGATTTAAACACATTTACATAGTCGTAATCCATCCAAAGCACATTCTGTCAATTTCAACTTCTCTGGGTTTCTGTAGCACTTTCAGATTATACATACACCAGGGAGACAAATGTGACATTAAAAAAATAATCCTTGTGGATCGCTTTCAGATATCACAATTTCGATCTATCAGAAGTACAAGAGCAAAGATCGGAAAAACATAAACAAGGGGTAAAGAACAGCTTCACATTGACCAGCAATGTTTAAAACTGCCTTCAGAAACCATGGTATTAACATAATTGGCTGATTATTACTAGCAATGATGAAAGACAATAAGGATCCAAAGCTGAACTTCTGTTTAGACTTGAGACTCATGACTTCACCATTCTCACACTGTCTGGTCAGCTGTATTGCTTCTCTCTATTTCAAACATGACCCAAACCAGAGCAGGAAGTGCAAGGCAAGGGAGGAAGACTGTGGCCCACCTGTAGACTAAATACTGACAACACTCTGTGGGGCTCTGAGGCAGACACTACCACCTCCCTGTCCACCCTGAGAGGGTATTTTATTCTAATTCTAAATCCAGATTAAAGACACTAAAAGTCTTCTGAAAAATTACATATATTTAAATGCCATAGCAACTGTTTTACTGCTAAAAGCCTCTTTACTGCAAGCAAAGGACCACCTGAGCTAGCATTTGGGTAACGCAGTGCCAGTGTACAGGACTTGCTACACATGGGGGGGAAAGCAACTCTTTCCAGAGTGGTGATAAAAGTCTCGAATGTCCCCACTGGTAACACTTGGGCTTTTCAAGGAAATTTTCTTCCAAACACATTTTGAATTTTATATTATGATTGGTTATGCTTTTTATTGCAAAGGGATTTACTTATATTACAATTAGATCCAGGATGCAACAAAAGGAGCAATGCAAATTGCTTGAAGCATTTGGATACTTAAAATGATACTGCTTGTGCTTCATCAAATAAGTTAACAGTATTCAAACAAATCACAGTTGCTGTCTTGTCTAACATTTTGTTTCAGTTAATGTGTCTGCATTTATGCACATATTCAAAATAGTATCTTTATGCCAAACCACTATACAAATTTCTTAGAACTTTGAGTGGATGCAGAAACAGCATTTAGGTCCCTTTTTTTGTTCACAACTTGATCTGGAGAAGACATGGAGCAGTTGAGTATATGGCCTTTGTCAGCTGCCAAGCATAGTGCTATCCAAAGCAAAAGACCTTACCAGGTAATAGCAGTAGATACTACAGACCCAGCTTTAAACTTTTTTTTTTTTTTTTAATTTGCTAGCATGTTTGCAGGTGTGAATTTGTGTAGAAGTTAAGAAGTTGTGAATGCATTTTCTGACAACACAAATTTATACAGATACATGTACTAGTGTTGTGGAGAAACAGCTGAATTACAGGGGAAAAAAATGAGTTACTGGGTGTAGTTCCTTAATGTGTAATGATGGAAGTTAAAAGTTTAGCTACACATTTTTCTTTAGGGACAGAATACATTTTTTTCAGAAACGGAGCCTCATCTGTTGGGCATGGAGTCCTTACAGTCTTCTGTTCATGGACTCAGGATTCAACTAAAGCAACTTTGTAGGGTTTTCAGAAAACTCAGCTGAAATTTGAACTGTGGCAGTTTGCCCTTTAGGTGTAATGAGTACAAGACATTAAATAGGATTTACAAAAGGGCTGCTGAGAAATCCATGTCCTGATGTTGCAGAGAAATGACTCTTATTCCAGCCATGCAACATCTAAGCTATGGTGAACCTTTTCCCTCTTCCCACATCTTCTTGTCAAAGGCATCTTTTCTGGGCTTATGTGGTCAATATTAGCCTAAAAACAAGTTAATTATCTTCATTATAGTACAGAATACACCAGAAAGCAGTTCATTTGAGGAAAAGACAAGGCATCAGAAAGATGGTTCTCCCACTGCCTTCCTATCAAACAAGTCAAAATAGCAAGTAGTCTTCTCAGAACGATATGCAGCCCATCCAAACCATCATTTGCAGTTGAGTAATCCCTCAAGCCTGCTATGCAAGCTACTGCACATCTCTTAGGAAGTGCAATGGACGTTCCAAATAATTTACAGTCCAAGAGAAGAGACTACATGTAGGAGAACAAACAGAAAATTAGGCAGTCAGACTATAATCCAGCTAGCATGGACAACAAAAATAAGTAGAGGTGATCACCACAATCTGTCTTGTTAGCAAGTTTGTGTGTCGGAGTTTCCCATAGAACAGAGTCTGAATTATATTAAACATTACTCACATGTGGTGTTTTCTAACAGTAAAAATGTTGCAAGATACAGGAATGCAAGATTTTTTTCCCCCAAAAAAATCAACAAAAGCCTTTTTCTTCAGGCAAAGTATTCTAAAATACTTGCCAAAAAACTACTTGTGTGATGCTCTCATGTGACAAACGAGTAGATTTATTAAAATATTCAGTATGAGTTTCCCATCACAACTAAACAGAAGATTTAATTAGTTATTAAAGCAGTTCCATATCCACTGAGCTAGCCTCACACCTCACATTCTTACAAGGTACTCCTTAATGAATTACCTTTCCAGTAAGAAGGTGATTGCCTCACTGGCAATCTGGGGGACATCACCAGACTCATGTTGCAACTACTGCTAGCAGAAAAAAAAAAATATAAATTTGTCTGGGGAGAGCAGAGAGGGTTTTGAACAGTCATCCAGCAGTCAGAGCATTTAGATTCTAGTACTGTGTTGTACAGCTGTTATGACATTGATGTGCATCCATTTGCCTGCAAGAGCTTTGGAAGGAAGGTAAGTTGGACAAAATCAGGGCCTACAGAGTCACTGTTGAAGCTGGGAAAATGCTGTCCTATAGGCAGAAATTACTTCAGGGTCAAGCTTTGCTAGAACAAGTTTCCTGTTTTTGAAAAAAGCTGTTCCTGATGTGTCTGGCTCCAAATCAATTCTGAGGAAGCCTCCAGAGGGGTGTCCTTCAGTGAGCTACTGCTCTACCAGTTACTCTTCCCTTAACCTAAGACTTAGAAATAAACTACACTATTAAAAATCCCTCATAATATATAACTCCAAGGGAAAATAAATTCCCATTGACTTGAGCCAAAGTTGTTCTTCTCCTCTCTCAGAAGTAGCCTGTTTCAGGACAGACACTCACATTGCAACCCTAGAGGTATGAGTTCTGAGTAACTGAGAACACAGAATCAAAATAAAAACAGCTACACAGAGCATTAATAGCAGCTATTGTCCTGGGATACTCAGACAATCCCCACAATGCCATTACAAACCTTACAAGGACATGTCCACTGTATTTTAAGGCCTAGGCTCTTGTAAAATGTGTTTCTGTTATTTCTTCATTTAACTTTTGATTGGAAAGCCACCCCTTGTAGCTTCCCGGAATAAGATGACAATAGGAAGGCAGTCTCAAAGCCATATAGCACTTGTGAGGGGTGCCAAGCCAGACGAGATTTGCTGGAAGACATTTTTATAACGCAGTTTTATAACTGAAGTGTTTAATTGAAAGATAATTATCCTGTGAGATAAGGCAAGATCTTAGTGCACTGAAATCTAAGACAGAACTACATTTACTTCAAGAGGTGCCACATACTTTCAGTTCTCATCATATTGTCTTTGTTTTTTTTACAGTGATTTCATCAAAATCTTCTGATGATCCCACTTTAAGGAAAAACCATGAAGCTTGGAAGTTTTTTGAAGGTAAAGATACATCTAACTGCTACTGTTTGTATACAGACGTTCCTTTAGTTCAATGCTACAGTCCAACTAAAGTGCCCCTGTCAGGCCCAGTTCTACTCACTGTATGAATTCAGGTCTTGCCTGAGGAAGCATCGCACAGAGTGCAAGGGGTGCTGGAGAAAAGAAAATATGTTTGTTATGGTGAATGGGAAAATAACCTATGCCTGGCTACTCATGCAGTGCAAATAAACCCCCTTATCCAGGAAGGTGCTGAGAAGGTACCAAGCACTCTGCACCCCCACCAGCTTAGAAACTGCTCACCAGATGTGCTCTGCACTGCAAGAGTAGCCTAAAGCTCCCTTGAGTTTCAAGCTGAGCAGTATTTTCTGTGTGGTTTGGTAAACAACTGTTCTAGGAGACTGAAATCCAGGATTTGCAGGCAGCTGGGATTTCCTGCTCCTGCCCCCATCCAGAGCACCAGGGAAGCCCCGGCCTGGCATTCACAATCATTCTGCTGAACTGCCTGCCAGGCAGTACTGCTACTTGCAGGCTGGCCTTGATTCTATAAGGAGCCTCACTGTTTAAACCACAATTTATAAACTATATTACTGTAAGGTATAAGGGGAACGAAGCACAGAACTGCAGGTCAGGGGTCTAGTTCCAGCAACACTATTTTCTACAGGAACAATTGACCTCTGAGGCTTTGTTTCCTCTCTGTGAAGCAGGAGAGAAGTCAATATACCTCCCTAAGGACATTTCAACACATTAATGGGTAGAACATGCCATCTCTATTTAAAGGTCTAGTAAAAGCAGAAATAAGTCATTAAAGATTTCTTCTCCTTCTGAACAAAATACTCCATCTTGATCTGCCACAGCGCAACTCATATCAGTTCCAGAGGGAATGTGTTATGGTACATGAATAAAAGCCATAAAGGGAGACTAAGGTAGTAGATTAAATAATAATAATACAAAAATACATATACAAAAATTTCAAGCCAGTGCTGCCACCAGAAGCAGCAATCACAGACATTCTTCCTTCTTCCTCAACCCCTCAACACTCCACCCCTCCCATTTTTTTTATTTTTTTTATTTTTTTTAAAAGTTTGAACTGGGAAGTAATCCAACTGAAGTCAGGGGTCTAGTTCCAGCAACACTATTTTCTACAGGAACAATTGACCTCTGAGGCTTTGTTTCCTCTCTGTGAAGCAGGAGAGAAGTCAATATACCTCCCTAAGGACATTTCAACACATTAATGGGTAGAACATGCCATCTCTATTTAAAGGTCTAGTAAAAGCAGAAATAAGTCATTAAAGATTTCTTCTCCTTCTGAACAAAATACTCCATCTTGATCTGCCACAGCGCAACTCATATCAGTTCCAGAGGGAATGTGTTATGGTACATGAATAAAAGCCATAAAGGGAGACTAAGGTAGTAGATTAAATAATAATAATACAAAAATACATATACAAAAATTTCAAGCCAGTGCTGCCACCAGAAGCAGCAATCACAGACATTCTTCCTTCTTCCTCAACCCCTCAACACTCCACCCCTCCCATTTTTTTTATTTTTTTTATTTTTTTTAAAAGTTTGAACTGGGAAGTAATCCAACTGAAGTCCTTTTTTTTGCCTCACAAAATGGGAAAAAAACCTCAAATCAACCCTCTCCTCCCTCCTGAAAGCAAGCCCTTTTAACTGTACCTGTTTGCATTTATGGGGATTTCAACCAAATTTTAAACTGAGCAGGATACTGTATGAAAATTTCAAGAAGGTTAAATTAGTTCTGAACTGTTACCCTAAATCTTTTGAGCCAGTGTCTATTTAGATCTTGTAAACATATCTTTTTCTATCCTGTAAGCATGAAGTACATGATTGCAACGATGACCATCATCTGTGTTTGGCTTTCAGATTTGTATGTGTATGCAGTCTTTGTGTGTTCAGTAGGAATCATCAGCGTCCTCCTTTTTACACTTGTCATTCTCTGTCAGTCACTCCTGAACAAGAGGAGATCCACAGGTGAGTGAAATGTCATTTTTGCTGACTACAAGGCCCTTACCAAAGAGAAAGAGGGGAGAGGGAGAATGCAGAAAATGCAGAGAAGACAAATACCTCATTGCCTTGATTTTAATAAAAATATAAACATTTTGGCCAAAAAACCAACCCCAAAGCAAAACAGAAAAAAAGGAATTTTGCTCCCTTTGAATAGCTGCTTCACTTTAAATTTGCTTTGGACTTTCAACATTTTCTGGCTTTGCACAGACATAAATCAAAGCCTGTTGGAACTTCTTTCAAAGATGACCAAGTGTTGTATCATTAAATTGCATTCTGACCAGATCTAGCTAACAATTTGCATGAGTGACATTTCTGTAGGCAAGTTTAAAGGGGTTTCAAAGTGATTGTGTTCTGTTTTCCTCTCCCTTCCTGACAAGCTGTCAGTATTCTTGGGAAAATGGGAGTTGTTATTAGCTCTCTCTCCTTTTTAGCATTCTTCAAAACTAAAGCATCATTTTGTCATTCAGATGAACATTATCATAATAATCTCTAAAGATTGAAGAATACTGTTGCATCCTTCTCTGCCTCAAAGAGGGTTTCCGAGAGAGGCAAAGCCTGTATGAAAGCAGCCCTACAGTAGTCAGAAGTGCTATTTCAGATCTGTTGGGTAGCCCGTGCAGGCTCTACTTCCATATTGGTTTAAGAGCAGTTTACTTGGAGACCTCACACAAGCTGTGAGGATGTGATACCAGCATTCTTATCATGTTAGAGGAGAGCATAAGGACCATCTCTGACAAGCAACTTTCAAGAGTTTGATTAGTGACTTGTCCTGTTAGTGATACGGGAGAATCATGACCTTGCTGCCTTTTCAAGCACTACACACTTACTACGAAGGATTGAGCGACTCAGATACATAAGAGAGAAGACATGTAAGCCAAAAATAGACGTATACAGAAGTCCTTGCCTGACCACAAACACATTTCAGGCTGCAGGTCTATCTTTCTGCTCATGTGCTCGGTTGAAAACTCTGATTCTAACTGAGCCCAACAACTCTGCTTGCCAAGAGGACGAAGCAAGATCAATGGTATTCTTCCTGCTCTGCTAAGTGTTGACAAAGGCTTTGTGCAAAGGGAGTCCCCACACTTAAGTAGGTTGGTCATGGTGAGTCATGCTGAAGCCACAAGCACTACATACACTGATGTATCCTAGTTTTTCTTGAGCTGACAGTGGGCTAGATTTTGATGCAGTTTTTAGTGATTTATGCTGCTGTAAGCATACAAGCAACTTGGAGGCAAGTCCTTTTTACAGTGGACCAACATCAGCTGAATATAGAAATAATACAGAATAAGCATAGACAACCAAGTAATTTGTTCCCAGGACACCCTATCTCCTTACCTCATCTTGCTGGGCAAATCTCTATCAGGGCTTCTTTCTGAACACCTCCAGTCGCAGGACCACCAGCAACTTCCATCACTCCAGCTTTCTCCCCCAGTTCCTCAGCACTAATACCACAAGGAGGATCATCTGATTTGCCCTGCCCCTCCCATTCCTGTTCCACCCCACCCCACAGCAATCCACAGCAACCCTAGCCCACCCTACCACACCCATGGCATGGAAGAAGAACAGAGAGGTGAAACTCTACTCAACCCTGTGGAAGAACAACCCAGCCTGGGACAAAGAGAAATACATACCTGAACTAAAAGGTGGGACTTGCAGCAGGTGAAGGTGGAGATGATCACTCTGGAATGTCTATCTGTGAAACCTGAGCAGATTCTGGCTCACCTGACATGAAAAGGGTAATAGTGAACCCAGTTCCTCACCAAAGGAGCTCCCTGGGTTTGATTGGATTGGCAGTGCAGCTGGGGCTGGCCCATAGCATGGGGCAGCTATGGGATGCTGTGGAAAGTAGCAGTGGTTGCAGCTGGCAACCCTTCTGTGGTTTCACAGAAGCCTGTGCCCATTTGTTAAAGCAGTGGTTGCTCCTCCTAATCCCTGGGTCAAGGGTTTAGAGTAGGGCAAGACAAAATAATACATACCTAGACATGCTCAAAAGCATGCCAACAGTGTATGTGAGCATCCCCTTACTCCTGAAGGGTCTGGCCTACTGTCCTCCTGTACATCTGAAAAGGCCAAACAGATAGATGGACACACTGCTTTGGCTGGCTTAGACATGGCCCCTGTGTTGGTCCCAGTTGCTAGTTATCTCAGCTCCCCTTTGGTTAGGACTAAAATACACCACCTTAGGAGCTGTGTAGCCTCCTTAGAATGGGGCAATTTAGATAATACCAAATATGAAAACTTTCTTGTAGAGAGGGGCATAATCATACCAGGTTTTCCTGGCCTTTTAAAGATTGGAGAACACAAAGAGTGGGGGGTGTCTATGTTGTATTCAACTTCAGGTCATGGCCCAGGGATGCACCCTCTTTTCCCTCTGAGAAATATGTCGGCAGTAGGTCAGCCAGAAGAGCCAGAGCCTTTCCTCCTGCCTGCATGTCTCTGCACTCAGCACATGGCACAACTTGGGCAGAGCACAGAAGCCACTAAGCCACAAAAGAGCATCTTAAAAACCCTGGCTCCTGAAAGGCTGCAGTGGGGAGAGCTGCCCTTGTGCAGGACTGCTGATTCAAAGGAGTAGGAAGTAGGAGGATTTACACAACTCTCACACACAGTTGTCAGAGACACGATAGTGTCTGGACTGGACCTCTGATCTGATCCCAGGAGTCAATCACTTTATGCCTGAGCCCATAGTCTAGCTTATATTAGAAGCAGCAGTGGCTCCTGTGGGTGAATGGTTTATTTCAGGCTTCTGAAAATAAATAGAGGCACCACAAGTGAAATAAAAGTCTTCAAAGTAAAATTACTATCCTGCTGTGCTTTTCCTTAGCAAGTTGTATTTTGGCTGCGCTGACCACTGGAATGTGTGTTGCCCAGCACTTCCACAGCAATTTTTTGGTGTTGTTTGATACATTCCCCTCTCCCAGGCCTAGCTACATCTTTGAGTCAGACTACACTGTAATGCACAACTTCATCTATGGTGAAGATTAGCAGCTCTCCCAGTGTAACAACTCCTCAGTCTCAGCAACACAGGTCTATCTGCAGTGCCCATTTGTAATTAATAGTCTGCATTGATGTGAAGCCACATTTTCTTTTTCCTTTTTTTTTTTTTTTCTTTCTTTAACAGTGAAGCATTACCTGGTGAAATGTCCCCAGAACAGGTAGGAGATTACACTTATCTTTCCTATAACCCAAAGCTCTAGTTGTGGTTTGTTTTGCTATGTATGCTGAAGAAGATGAGTAATGTTTTCCAAAATGCCAGGAGGATAAAGAGTCAGGGTTTCAGGACTCATGAAAGTGCCTGCAAGCCAACATCTGCTGTGTATAATAAGGGAGATCTACCTTGGCTATCTAGCTATAGGTCCTGCAAGTGGTTCAGTAACAAACCTCTTGTTTAGGCTTTGAATTGCTTTCTGGAGAAGCTTGCTTTCATCCTGTATGACTTTAGGATTTCCTAATAACTCTCCAGATGGTAGTGACTTAAACCATCCACATACATAGCACAAACCACAAAGTTACTCAGTGATTCCTGCCCTCAGGAACAGGGAGTGGGGCACAAAAGCAGATTTTCAAGGCCCACAGTCTATTCCCAGCTGAAGACTCCAGTGCTGTAAAACTGATGTTCATTGTATGATTTTCCTGAGATATAAATTTTGCTAGAACTGTGGTTGAAAATATATAAATAAAGATGACACGTATTTTACAAACAAAAAAAGATTAAAGAGGGATGCCTCATAAAAACACAGAATAAAAGCTGTTTCCCAATTTTCAGTGACATAAAACATGTGTTTCTAGCCTTGTAGCTTAAATACAGTATCACTTGGTATCATAGATACTATTTCCCATACTATCTTTTTAGATACTATGAGATTGAATGCCAAGTACAGCACACCCCAGATCCTTGAATAGTGCAATTTTTAGTACATTCACATGGGAGTTTTGCTGTATTCCGTCCAATCAACACTTGGGTGTAAGTGAAGTCACAACAAAGCAACAGAGAGTTCAGGAGAGGCCAGTACAAACTGAAACACCGATGTTATTCATGGATAGATCTTCATTCTGTGACCCTGACCAGCAATCACACCATGCCAAAAATTTTCAGAGATAGCTCAGCAGATTTTATTTTTCCCTGGATGTTTTCTCTTTCCCCTTTTTTATTAGCTGCTGGGACAAAATTGTAATTACAGAAACAAAAACAAGAAGGGGAAAGAAATCAAAGCAGATTCGTAGAGAGCACAAGAAGTTGAGAAAAATGAGACTCAACTGAAAAGATGAGTGAAAAAATGGAGCATAGCAGTCAAAAAGACTTGTACTACAGAATCTACTTCTCTGGGAATAGATGATATTGTATATTGTATACTACTGCAAATACTAAATTTAGGAGGCTGAATAGCAGGGGGAAAATAGCCAATGTGATTTCTTCAATGTAAAATGGAGTCTCCAGAAGTGAAAGAAATTCACAACTGTATATGAATAAAAATATGGTTTAATGTATTTCAATGTGACAAGATATGCTAATGAAAGCCTTGATCCCACAAATGCATGTCTAAAGTGCAATGACTTCAGGACTTTAAAATTAAATAGATACGAAATTGTTACCAGGATCATAATTTTTATTATGTTTCACACTTGGTGCCATTTATTTTCTACCTTCTGCTCAAAACACAAACCATTAATTCCTTTGAGCTGATTTCTCTTCACCTGTGCATGCCTGGTTTTGGAAATTAATTCAACACATTTAGACCTAAAACCCAGTGTCTAAAGATCCATTAGACCAAACTGATAAACTAATTTGCATGAGATTCCTGCCGGTCAAAATGAACAAGCTGTGCAAAATTCAGCCTTGATTAGAGAGGTTCAGCTCTAATTCCCTTAGTGATATTTCAAACTCAGAGCAGAATCCAGTTTCAAAATTACATTAATAGTCCAGTGTCTAAGAAATATCTGTACTCCCACGGCAGTAATACCTAAGGATCTTAAAATATTTCATATCTTGACATCATAATGGTGTTTTTACTTAATTGGAATCTGAAGCACAAAGGGCTAAGTGATTTGCCCCAAGTCTCACAAAATGGCCTTGGTAGAAAAGAAAATGAAATCCAGATTTCCTAAGTAGAACAAAGCAAATGTTGGGGTTTTGGTTTTCTACTTGACCAAAAACAAGGAAAAAAATAAGTTAACCAAAACCCATTTATTTCCCACATTTTAAAAATAAACAACTAAAAAAAAAAAAAAAGTATAGTTATTTTGAGTTTTCCAAACCACCTAATTCATTTTTTTTCTGGGGTTTTCTTTAAATAAGCTCCTTGTTATTATCATCTTCCTTGTCATTAGATAATTTAGTAAATTTTCAGATCCAGAAGGCCTCAGGAAGTGTAGTTTTGAAAACAGGAATGATATTTTTCTGTCTTCTGTATTTGTTTTGGCCTGAACTCTCCACTCCTCCAGTGACTGCTCTTTTGGAGACAAATAATTTGAGGTGAAAAAAAGTGTTCACCTCAGAAAACTGTCCATCTCAACACCTTGCTTCCACAGTGCCAAGCTAACACTCTAGGAATAAATTCTGCCAGACTGAACCAGAACTAAGTACCCAGTCCACCCCTGGCACCTTTCCACATGGCTTCCCTATTTGGAAAACATCAAAACAGTTCCCAGCCCACTTAAGTGAATTTTTTGGTATTGTGCTGCAGACCTTTGACAAGAGGAAATAGATGACTTAGCTGACAACAGGAAAAGTCCCACAACCTTGACTCAAATAAGGATAGCAAAGGCAAAACTGTAGTTTGCCAGCTCTTTGGGCAGCCGTGACCTTCAGAGCCTGGTGCCATGGTGCCATGGCCTGGTGCCATGACTGTTACACACCTTCCACAGGTTTTCCTCCAAACTCCTGTACTTTTTTTTTTTTTTCTCTCTAAAAACTCATTAGATCCTTCAAGAAATGCACAATGTGACACTGTTGAAATAGAAGTCAGGAGGCTGGAGGACGAGCTGGAGATAAAAAGCTAACTTTCGTTGTAGACATAGAACATGACAAGCTTACAAAGAGGCTGTGTTTCCAAGCCAAGGAGTATTTTCTGAGCCTCCTTATTTGGTTTGAGGAGCTAATTTCTAAGACAGCAAGTACAGTTATTGTATTTCCCAAAATTATTTAACCCTTTATGGCCCTGGCATTTAAAAGAAAAGCCTAAGCCACAAATACATTTCTCTGTAGCTTCACTTTTCCAGTGGCAAAGCAGCAATAATAACTAATGCAATTAACTGACACTAAGCCTTTTCATGTATTGTGATTAAAGTAGCTATATCAGAATAACAGTATCTTTAAGCTACACCTCTGTCTTAAGGACCTTGGATTATTAAAACCACAAACATTAAATGAAAAAACCGACAAACATTAAATAAATCTTTCTCATCCCCTTTTTGATATTCTTTGTTCTTTGCAGTTTGCTGTGTTTGTGCAATGGAGCCAGGCAGGACAGTTTCATTTCCTGCTCATCCTAAACCATTTCATGTTTTCATTTTAAGATTGAAACAAATGTTTTTTGTGGGATAGGGTCACCAAAGTGCAAGCAGACTTTGAATTATTTTAATGTGACCCTCAGTTTACATAGTTGATGTGATTTATTTATAAATAATGAAAACATTTTACCTTTTAAACACTTTAAAAGAAGTTTGACAGCAAGCCTATGTTTTGGTCTTAGTACATTAAACAGAACTCGGGAAAATCAGCAAACCAGAGGCTTTTGTAATCCGCACAAGTGTAAATCCAGAGTGATTTTACCAATGGTAGTGACATTCATTTGGATTTACTGCTGTGTAAAATTATATTTGTTATTTTGTTATTCTTGTGTGGGCAATAGCTGAGGCATCTTAACTTTCATTAAGATTTTGGCCCAGTTTGAATATTTTATTCTATTAATATAAAGAGGATGTTTCATTATGCAAAAGAACCTGGAGAGGAAAAGCAGCTTGGGACCAATGATCTAAAATTCAGTGAGAACAGTGTTGTCAGTGTTAGGACTATAGAGACCCTAGTTGGATCCAATCGTGTGCTGAAACTTACCAGCACAGAACAGCATCTGAGCAACAACAGCTTACCAAGTCACCTCCACCTCTGTAATCATCATAACTAACTGCTGTACACTGTCCTCCCACCTCAGCTGTAAGTTAAGATTTATATCATTACCAGTTAAGCCAATTCAGTCTTATTTCACATTAATTACAAGCTAGGAGCACCTGCACAGTCAGTGACTAGAGCTCAGCTGACACACGGTGACAATCGCTGCAACACGACTGCATATCCAAGTCCTAAATATTTGAAGTAGGATATACTACCTCAGGCTTTGGAAGATGCTATGGGGAAAATACCCAGCCCCAGAGGATGTTACACTGTAACAGTCCAAACACAGATGCTTTCTTGGACAGGAGTCTATCTAGAATACAGCTTGTACTTTTCCCTCATACTTACTAGTGATTATTCATTACAGATTTACTGGAGAGTGCCCAAGTTTAGAGACTGTAGCACAGTTTCTTCAAGTTATATGCATTGAGCACATCAGCCTCTTTAAAAATCTGGCTTTTTCAGATATGAGTTTGTGAGCTGTCTGAAGACATGCTGCACACCCTCCTGGCCTGCTGGCCCCTCAGCTAGTCTTAGCCCAGAAACCACATTGGAGATCTTGCTTTGCCATATGCTTCCTGTGTGACCTTAATGCAAGTCACCTAACCTGTCTGTGCCTCTGGTCCTTGAGGACAGAAGAGGACAGAAGTGTACAAACTTATCCTGGGTGCAGCAGGGGGGTCATATATGTTTTCAAGGAAGAGGTGCTATTGAAAAGGGTCTTGTTTAAACCTGAAATTTTGCATTTTCTGCTCTAGGACAGACCAGATTCCTGAGTTTCTCAGCCAAGCTGTATGGTTGAAAAGGACCCAGATAATTTCCAGCCCTTATAAGAGTTTTTTCAGTATATCCCTGGGGCAAAATCTAAGTTTTTAAGAAGCGATTCTTACAAGTGGAAGTTGACATGTTTGCATGAACTCAATGGGACAAAATGTCTTTCCTTTCATTGCCTTCATGTTTCCTCACATCTGGCTCTCTGCTTTGCAGCTCAGGGGAGACGGTCACCAGCGTGACAAGCATGTCCCCTCTACAGCCCAAGAAAGTAAAGAAAAAGAAAGAGAAAATAGAGCAGCCACCAGCCATTCCAGCAAAAGGTATGAAAACAGAAGTACAGAGTTATTTCAAGTCCCGAGCACAACCATGGAGGGACAGCAGAGAGTGGGACGTCAGGACTCCCGCACTCTGCCACTGACTATGCCTATGGGGTGACTTGTGCTTGCTCCTGTCTGTGGGGGAAGAAGTGGCCCATGTCTGCTGCTTGGACCAGGGCTGTCACCTCCCTGCAGCTTTAGCTACTGAAAAGCTAGTCACCAAATTGAAGCAAAAGGTCTCAGCTGCCAGTAATCAAAGGAGATTAGGAGCAATATTCACCCTACTCAAAGAGAAAATTCAAATTAGGCAAGATGAAATTTCACGCTAGGGATAGACTGGAGGAAGCCAACACATTGCACTCCTAAAACTGCATGTGCACTTGGAAGTCAAGCAAGCTGAAGAGATAAAGGTCAACCTCTTGGGGAACCTCACTTCCAAAGAGAATCTGCTATTGCCTCCAGGGTCAACCATACAAACTCTCAGGAGTCCTTTCTGAGCACTGTGAGTTAGATCACAAGTGATCAGTTCTCAGGAAGTATATTTGTTCTTGCTTCTGCAGAAATCCCAGCATGTTTCCCATATCAGTTATTTTAATCTTGTGACTTTTTCTAATTCATAAGTGCTATGCTTCGTTATAAAATATGTTACTTGGATACAGTTAAACTCTGGAATATGTGCATGTATTTGCTCCTAATCTGCTATGAATCTGTAATTTATAAATTCCTAATACCTATATGAAAAAAATGACATTGAATCATGATAATATGAAATCAATCCTTAATATTTATTTCTATAGCTCCAATAGCCAATAATTTTCCTAAGCCCAAGCTCCTGAAACCTCAAAGAAAATTGATCCTGGTAAGTAGTTTTCTGTGACATTATTATCTTCATGTTCTTCTCTTTCAATACAATTGCTGTAATGTTGCCAAAATTCTATGTTTAGAAACTATAAATTGGCTTAAAAATCCTTACAAGTCCTTTTCCTTTTTTAAAGTAATACTTTTCAGGTGATGGATTATCTTGGCTCTTTTAATCTTGAGCATTAGGTTACCCTAGATTATGTTTTCCAACTATCTAGCAGTCTTCGTGTCTACAAATTTAGCCTGTTCTTACATTAAACCTGCTATTGATTCTCACATGCCTCTAGCAGACGTTGCTTTGAAAAAAAGTTGGTTACTGACAGATACACAACAATGCTGGTCACATTGCCTCAGAGACTTTTCAAATCAGAAATAAAGCAGGGCTGAATCTGCCTAACAGTGGTGTAAATCGGGAATGGTGGTCTACTTGGCTCCCTATGTAGTCATTAGAAAGATAAATTAGAGTAGGAGTCTGATGCTCCTAATTCAGACTACATGTTCTGAATTGTCTTTTGTGCATCCTTTCCCCCTTCTCTGGCAATAGAGAGGGCCCAGAGGGACTGAATACCTGACTTAGGTGAAGATGGGTGCCTAAAATTAGGCCATGTGAATAACCCAAACACCTTTGTGATGGCTTCACTTTCAGATGAGGGTTAGAATTGGGAACCTTCCCACCAATTGTTGGTAAATATCCTCCGCCCTTTTACGCATGGTCAGGGTACAACCCAGGGTACCTGGGCATAACGCCATGTGACTTCAGAACATCTCAGTTAAAATCTTAGGTGACACTGCTGCTTGGGTATGGAGCTCACCTCTCCTCTGCTGGTCCTGCAGGGATTGCACCCTGGCAAGGCTCTGCTCATACAGGTTAGTTTTCAGCAGAGAAGGATGTAGAGTTTTGAAAGTTCATGAAAAGAAAGCTTACATTCACGTATGTAACAAAGCTATGCTAAGAGAAAAAACACACTGATAAGAGCACTCAGTATCAGGGGATAAGAACCACCCTGTGCTGCGCACACATGGCATTAATCACTGCACCCAGGCATGTGGCTCCATCAGAAATCAGTTAGTCTTCAGCCCTCCAAGGAAAAGCTCTCATCAGTTAAAGCACTCAGACTCTTCCTGCAGGTCAATAAAACACATCAACACATGCTGAACGTGAGGTAAATCTGTTCCCAGATGCTTTTCTTTCTGGAATAAATTCAAGGATATGGGCCACAAATAGCTGTTTGCTTTTCCCTTCCTGATGCGCAAACCCAATCAAGGTTCAAACTCTTTGGAGGTGAGCCTTTTCAGACAATGAAACCAGCTTTGTTTTCCCTAGCGTGACTGAGGACCTGCACACTGTTTGCAGTCAGCAGACTCAGTTTTAATGCCTTTCTGCCAGATTTGTCTCTCTCTGCACTTTTCCCTTTCACATTTCACCTCAGAGTGCATCTGGAAGGGCATCACAGCCTGCAGAAAACACATCATCTATGGCTGTGAGTTGGTTTTAAGACAAAAAGTAATGCAATAAATATTATCCAGAGAATTTTCAAGACCCAAACTCATCTAGCAATACTTTAAAGGGCAAAGGAAACTAACCATAAGTCAGTTGATGAGGCACATTCAGAAGCTGAGCAGGACACTCATCAGAGCTGTTTCCTGTCTTCCTCTTGCCTCCCTTTACAATGCAGTTAAGCTCCTATTTTAGTATTTTCAGGAAAATAAATAAATAAATAAATAAATCTGCTTTAAAATGATTTTTCAGTGAGAAACTTAAATTAATTGAAGTGGATAATGTTTCAACAAAGATACAAAATAGTAATAAATACAGAAGGAAAGACATATCAAGTTCATCTAAAGGAAACATATTCTTGATTTTCAGCATACTTGCCTCACCATGTTTTGGTTCTCAAAAATTTCTCAGATTATACATTTTCAGTCTGTTTTAGAGGAAATCGTCATCCTGCCAAATCTCTGCAGGATAAAATAATTTTTTTGTTTCCAGCTGTAATTACTGCACAGCTGGTGTCTGCACAAGGTCTTTTTTCATTGACAGCACACAGCTATGAGGTAATTGTCACTGAAAAGAAAGACTCACATTTTTTGAGTTCAGGACTTCTGCAGCTTCTCTTTGCAACCCAAGGAAGGCACCACACCAAGGAACCAGGAGAATATTCTAGAAAACCTAAGCAAGCAAGCTAGAGTATAAGGGAACATTACAAAATAATTCCAGTGTTTTGGGAAATTTTTTGTAATAACCTAAATACCAGCAAAATTATTTCCAGAGGACATGTGCTTCTGGTTTCTTGAAAGATGTTTATAATAAACTAGAGAATTTATTTTGTTGTTAACATGCTAGAGTGGGTTGCAGTATAATTTTACAAGAACACAATAACCTGGATAAAATATGGACATAATCTCAATGAAAATTAAAAAAAAAAAAAAAAAAAAAAAAAGAGAGAAAGCCTAATATCATGTTCAATTACAAAGCCTTGAGTAAATACTTTTAAAAACTCTGCTTAAGTCATATTGCTTTTGATTTAGCCAGAATAACAATTCTATGCTCCCCTTGTTGCAAAAATATTCCCCATCAGTGTCATTCTCTATTAGCATCAGTGAGAAATGTGTACAGATCAAAGGAAATAGAGATGCTGAAATGCAAAAAGGGATGGTTTTTATAGCATGCAAGAAGCACAGAGAGTCATTAGGAAGAAGAAAATTCTGGGGGCCCACAAATTCTGCTCTCTAAGGGCTGTTCTGCTATAGCCTTAAGTACTTAGCTTTTTGAGTTGGTAGAGATAAATCTTATACTTCCTCAGCCAAATTTTCTGCTGAGGCTTTCATTGCCTGCTAGAGATTAGTTGTCATAGCCCAAGAGTGTCAGTTATAGAACATTATCTAAATGAAAAGGTTTCAGTGTCATTTCATGAGGGTTTGCACCACCAAGCTTAGGAGCTTCTGTGTGATTCACTGGAGCCAATGGAAAAGACCTGAGACTTCAGGGTAGATCAAATCCTGCAATCTTTATTTATGCAGATTTTTAGTTGACTTAATTTTCAGACTAGGTAAGGCAGGCTATAGGGAACCTTCCTGATTCTGCCACTGACTTATGTGGCCTCTGCTAATTCATATAATTGTACAACTTTGAAGTCAGGTAAATATATCCTCTATTACAAGTTATTCCTTTGGTTAGTTCTTCCAACACGTGGTACATGTAAAGCACACAGTACATAAGAGTTGGCTTCTTCTATTACTTAAATAACCTCTTTACTGTAGCGTATCTGGCTTCTCTTATTCACCACCACAGAATACTTATTGGGCTTATGTGACTTCCACAGCAGAGTGTTCTCAGAGACCATTGGTTCTCTGACCAACAGCTCAGAGCTGAGCTATTTCAGAGAAGTATCCCTCTACCTTCAGATCATAAGGCATAGACAGTATTGTTTATCACAGCATGGATTGGACCACAAGTAGCCTAGCACCCAATGAGTGCTGAGATTTTCTTTTGATGATGATGATGATGTAAAAACTACTTGAGAAATAGGAAGGGCATAAGGCTAGCTGAATGTAAGGGAAATTTCTGCACGTCATTTTGCTAACTTTGAATGAAAGCATACACATCTGCACTCATTCTGCCTGTCTGTCGTTTTCAGGCACCACATATATTTTATCCTGAGATTTGCAAAGCTGGCTCAGAGAACTGGATTCCCAGGTTTTTACAGATATAATAAAATGGGAAGCTTAGGTGTCTTTCTCTGGCTTTGAAGATGCTATCCTCTCTTACCATTACAAACTAAGTGCTGACAATGTGATGAGTGCCAGCCAGTGCAGGTCAGGATAGTCCCTGCTCTGAAAATGCTTATTTTGCAATGAGTAACATGCCTGAAAGCCTGGAATTTGCAAGTATTTATTCAGAATACAGCTTCCCTGCTCCTGCCATGCCCACAAAGCAAAAGGGTGTTGTTTTGAGCAAAAACCTGACAGAGGTTTAGCACCTGTGGAACTGAGAAGGCTGCAACTTGGTCTCATCTTCTACATGTACTCAGCAAAATCCAGCTTTCAGCATTACACATTTAACTCAGTGTCCACAATGGTGCATACTTGTGAATCAAGCAATGAAGACAGGTGCTCCAGAAGCTGTCCAGAAGCTTAAGTTTACTTCACCTAAAAAAACCTTTTGACTTTTAGGTTTCGGGACTGCATTTCCCATTGTACAACAAACCAACCAGATCCACTGTGTATCAGAACCAGTGACCTTCAAGTCCTTTTGGGAAAGGAATCTAGATGTGGGAGTGAATTATCTGTCATCTGATTACCTCATCAGAGCTTTGAAATGTAAAGAGCTGCTTCTAGTTTTTGATTGCTGGGGAATTTGTGCCTTCTAAGCTACACCTCAGCCTGCTGTGCTGCAGCATCAGCTTCACAGCAAACTGGAACCCAATTTACACATTGTAGGATTGTACTTGATGGTCAGAGCTGATTTTTTTCCCTGTTTTCTTTTTCATCTTACAATTAAGCACTACATCACTCAAACCTATTTTATATCATATGCTAGTTAGGAAAGGCAGACTAGTCATTTTTTTGCACAACAACTAGGATTCCTCATTAGTCTTAACCTGTATTTACTGTTGTCACTTTCCTTGAGAAAGAAAAAGGCAGTGAAATACACGTGCTCAGTAATTTGTGGAATCTGGATATGGGAACAATCGGATCTTCCTTTTCCGTAGATAATTTTAAATGAAAAGCTATGCCACCCTCTGTTAGAAGAGTTGTTTCCTCCACAATATGTAACAATGGGTGATGATTTAAGTTCCCAATTTCTTAAGGCATTATTGATCTCCACAGACTTCAAGTAACACTGTACATGTGATATACAAATAAGTGCTGAACATTTTTTTCCTAGATTCCCTGGGATTCCTGAATGTTTCCATGCAGTCCACGTAATTTCTCTCTGGAAGATTAATAATCCTGGGGTTTTTTGCAATCTCTCCTTAGGATGTGAGGTGCCCACAG